CCACGGCAGCACGCTGACGAAGTCCCCACGTCGCCGCGTCGTTGGTCTCGTCTTTGTTCTTTCCCCAGAGGCTCAGGACGAGAGGCCGGTCCCCGGGAAAGCCCCCGTGGTCCAGGGACCACATGCCCCCTGCGGCGCCTGCCTCCGCGATCTGTCCCGGGCCCAGCCGTGGGCTCAAGCGCTCCGGGTCTCGCCTGTGCCCCCATGCCGCCGACAAGCAGACCACCCTGAATGAGCTGGGGGGAGCCGGCATGGGGAGATGTCCAGTGGGGCGGACCCATGTGGGGAGCAGGCGGTGGAGGATATGCCTTTGGTGCCTTCGCGTCGCGGTCGTTGCGCGTGTTGCCCGTGCTTGCGCGCTGCCCCGTGCACTTCGCCGCTGCATGGCGCTCCAATGTTGCGCAATACCTTTCCAGCCCTCATGGTCGTGCCAGCTACACTTGCGCGAGATAATTGCGTTTCTTGTCTCTCGTCCCGTGCATCGCTTTTACCATTTCCTCCTCCCTCTCTCGCTTTCTCTCTCTCTCTCTCTCCACTCCTCTTTTTTGGGTTGTTTCTCTCTCTCTCTCTCTCTCTGTCTATTCCGCTGCTCCGTCCACGTCCTCCCTCTCGTCCTCCCCCTCCGGTCCCATTGTAGCACTCCGTCTGCGCATCCATAATACCCTCATCCCCAAACATTGCTTACTAGGGCTGTGGGAGGGAGGAGGGAGGAGGGAGGAGGGAGGAGGGAGGAGGAGGAGGAGGAGGAGGAGGAGGAGGAGGAGGAGGAGGAGGGGGAGGAGACCCTTATCTTCCTGTACGGAACTGGGCCCTGTGGGCGGAGTGGCGGGTACGTCCCGGCCGCCGCCGCCCGCGTCTGTGCCTCGTCGCCGCCCGCCGTCCGCCGTCTGGCGTGCGTGGGCGACTTGGCGGCTATGTTCCTGCCGTCGCCGCCCCGTCGATGCCTCGTCGCTGCGCGTCGCCGCGCAGACAGCGTGATAGACGGCGCCATCTAGACGCCACACCACAGCTTGCACCCACCACACAGATTGCACCACATCGGCTGTTCAACCACATGCCTTGCGCAAAATCTGTCGCACAGCCCAGACTGCACCACGTAGATTGGACAGCCTGAATTTGCACCACACAGATTGCATCACACACATGTTTTCACATATACTGCACCACGCGCGTTGCACTATAGATCGCACCACATGACATGCACAACATAGCTCGTGCAACATAACTTGCACCACGTATATTGCACCTTGTAAAACGAATGCGCAACATTGAATGCACCAAATGCACTGCGCCACGAACACTGCACCACATAGCTACACAACAGCATTGAAACGTATAGATTGCACCACATGGGTCGCACAACATAGTTCGCACCATACGGAGTGCACAGCATCAATTGCACGACATCATACGCTCCACACATGCTGCACCACAGCACTGCACAGTTTGACCACATTTGCGTTGTACAGGTTGCACTCACTAGTCGCACACCATAGATTGATCTTCGAAGAACGCACCACATGTATTCACCAGCAGATGTTGCACCACAGTTGAACCTCAGTTGCACCACATTATAGGGTGTACAGAATTTACTGCACAACCGAAATTGCACTACGTAGATTGAGCAGCAGGGATTTCCAGACATACACTGTTTGGAATCCGCGCTGACTATCAGCTCTATATATACTCCCACTCTGGGCCTCTGCCCGTCGATGGGGGCCCAATCCAGGGTGGGGCATCCCACCTGTCAAGTTACCCGACGCGACAATGCCCATATGTGCATCGTAAACCCGGGTCCTGTCTCGATCATAAAATTGCCTACGAGCATCTTTGTGTGAGAACGAATCCGCCCAGACGACAAGCGCGGCAACGACGACGACGACGGCAATGACGACTTCAGTGACGTCTTCCTCTTCAGGGCATTTTTGCAGGAGGGATGAAGAATCACGCAAGTGGAAAAGCAAAGGGGAATACCTATTGCCATCATCCCCGCGGCAATTCAGGCAAACGCGCATGGCTTTGCTACGCCCGTTTTCTGGCGTGCTATTCGCGGCGCCCGCTGGCTGTCGTGGTGCCCAACTGCCGCGCTGGGCGAGTGGGCCGGAGTGCGATTGGGCCCGAGGTTGGGTGCTGATTTAAACTGTGGCGAATCTGGGAAGGCTTGGGTGCGAGATCGAAAGCAAGTGGATTCGATCACAGTACAAAAGAGAACCCCCCCACTGGAGTTTCGGTTTCGGTTTCGCGCTCGTGTCGCGCGCACGGGCAAGGCGACGCTGCGCGGGCCGGCGAGAGGAATGAAATCTCCTCTGGCTAGGGCGCCGCCGGGCCAAACGACCGCCCCCCGCCACCCACCCACCACGGGTGGGCAGCGGTGGCCGGGGGCGTCCCGTGGTGTCCTGTGGTGTGTTGCGGCGGCCCGTCGGACTCCCATCCGTGCCCCGTCGGTGTCCTTTGTAGATAGTTGGTGAGTTCGATCGTGATAACGATCGTAAAACCGACGGGGGCGCTGGTAGTGAAAGACGACTGTGGAATCAATGGTTGGATCGAAGGTGAATTCGAAAGTGTGATCGGTACTCAAGTGGCAGTGGCGCTTGATCGGTCGCCACATCGATGGGGAGTTGGTATTGTCATCGGCTGCGAGATCGACGGTAGGATCGGTTGTAATATAGATAGTGAGATCGCTTCTGTGATCGATGGGATGAGACCGACCGTGAGACCGATACTGGTATCCCGTCGGTGTCCCGCTGGTGTCCCGTACTGAGATCGAAAGTGGGATTGGAAGTGGTATTGAGAGTGAGAGCCATAGTGCGATCGTCAGTAGGGTCGGTACGGGAATCGAGGGTGAAATCGATCGTGAGATTGATCGTGAACTCGATAACGATTTCCCGGCGGTGTCCCGTCGGTGTCCCGCCAATGCCCCGTGACGGGGTCGATTGTGCGATCGATCGTGAGGTCGTTCGTGAGGTCGTTGGTGGGATGTGACATCGATACTCAGATCGATCGTAAGGTCGGTAGGGAAACCGATTGTGGGATCGATTGGGTGCGTCGTTGGTCCCATCCTCCTTGCCAGCCCTTTTTCGCCCGAGTACGCGTGAATCTTATGGCGGGTGAGCCTGAGCTCGACTGAGACTGAGTGAGTCTGAATTTGGGCGAATTCGAATGCGAGCGGGTAAGTATGGGTGAGTCTGAGTATGATTCATTATGATATTATGAGTATGAATGAGCATGAACGTGCTGAGCGACCCTGGGCGACGAAGGGGTGCAAATGAACAGTTGCGTGAGCGAGCGGGTGCGATTGAGTGGGTACGCGGTGAAGGGCGTGAGTGGTGATTGAGGAGCATAGGAGTCCAAAGCAAATTCAGGCAGGCGGAAATTGGCACACTTTTTTCGAGGCACCCTCGCAGCTTGAGCGCGAGTCTTGGAGTGTCCCCACCCGTGGCGGTTCCGCCTTGGAGTGCCCAGGTGCCACGCTTGCTACATCGTGGTGAGGATAGGACCACCACAATACAACAGTTTGGAGGGCCAACACAGGCAAACATCCAAAGACATCCAGACAATGTGGGTGCGAATCTGGGAATGTCCCCACTCCTGGCGGGTGTTCCTTCGGATGGCAATGTGCAGCGGTTGATCCTTCGGGGTAAGCATTGGACCGCCAAAGGACAGAAGCATGTAGAGGCAAATGCTGGCAAACCGTGTGACACATCCCCACAGTCTGGGCGCGAATCCCAGACTGTCCCACCCCTAACGGTTCGGGCTCAAGTTGCCCAAGTGCTACGCCTGCTTTATCGCCGTGAGCATTGGACAAACACAAGAAAGTCTGGGAGACAGAAGCAAAACAACCGCTTGAGACATCCCCCCAATCTGGACGCGAATCCTGGAGTGCCCCACCCTGGCAGCTCCCCCATGGGGTGCCCAACATTCCACGCCTGCGATATCGCTGCGAGCACTGGTCCACCAGGAGAGACAAGTTCGGGGATACAAACAAGCAATCCGTTTGAGACACCCCTACAGTCTGGAAACCTCTTGAGACATCCCCGCATTTTGGGCGCGAGTCCTGGAGCGTCCCCTCTACAGGCGGTTCCCCCGTGGGGTGCCCAACTGTCACGCCTGCTACATCGTGCAGGGTGCACCACCAAAAGAGAACCGTCTGGATGGGCGCAGAGCAAGGCAAACCGTTTGAGACATCCATACTGGGCGCGGCTCTTGGAGCATCCCCACCCGTGGCGGTTCCCCTCTGGGATGCCCACGTGCCCAAAAAGTTTGAGCGAATTTGACAGCGGGATACTGTGTCGGAGTGGGGGAGACTCAATGTGTCTGAGTGAGCGCGCATCTGAGGTTAATTTTCTGACTGGGCCTGTTGGGGTCCTACTGAGACTGAGTCTGAGTGAGTCCGAGTGAGGAAGTGATGTGGCTAGGTCTGCGTGAGGAACAATGAGTCTGTGATGGACCTGTGAAGAAGACTGGGTCTGCGATGGGCCCCGTGATGGGTGTGAGTGCGTTGGGTGCGAATATCTAAATGTTATGAGTGTCACGCCGTGGGAGTGTTGCTGTTCCCACCCCTTCGCGGCCCGCGTAGCATGTTCTTCGCCAGGTCGTCGGAAGCGGAACCGCGCGCGAGCGCCTTCCGTTTGCAATGTGGGACGCGTTCCAATACCAATACCAAGTTGTGCCACATTCGATTCTCATGGTGTAGGAGGGAGGGTGAGAGCAGGCGGGGCCCTTTGATTCACTCGACCTGGCTAACTGAACTTGATCATCCTTATTCTTCTTCTCCCTCCTCGCACTTGTTCCCTCTTCCACCTCTTTCTACTTATCCTCATTCCTCCTCCGCTCCCTCCTTCTTCTGCGTCTCACTCCTTCTCCCCGCCTCCCCCTCCCTATTGACCTTCTCATTCGGTAAGTCGTGTTCGCCCCATTTTCTCGCCCTGCTTCTCTTACTCCCCCTTCTCGTCATCAATCTCCTGCCCATCCTTCTATTCATCCTCTCCTGCATACCAGGCATGAAGGGCGCAATGATGAACGGCGGTGGCCACGTGGGAGCTGGAGGCGCTCGGCGAAAGCCCAAAGTTTGCGATTGAACCCTTCGGCTTGCCAAGTCATGAGGCCCAAGAACAGTGCCCACGCTAAACAGACGCCTGAATCGTACCAGGAAGATTGGTACAGATCCGGCCGCGCGTCTGTCCAGCGATGGGTCACTTGATGTCTGGGCACTCTGGCCTGCCACGCGCGTATCCGGCGCGCCCCCACACGTTCCGCACTCGAACCCTTCGCCGCGCGTGTGCTTACATACTTGTGGCAGTTCGTGCATACTGTGGTGGCATCGGCGGGAAGTTCGGTGGATGTTCGTTCTGCTCGGGACATGTTCCGCCTGTGCACCCAGCCGCGCGCATGCTTACATACTACTGGCATTTAGCGCACAGGTTCGGTAGATGGTCGTTCTGCTCGGGGTGCTGGGGTCGGCATGATGGGTGAGCGCCCCGTTTCGGCCAGATTGGCGGCCCCCTGAAGAGGCCCAAAGACAAACACCTTGTGTTCCTCGCCTTTGCCGCTCTGAACGCCTTCGGCGTCGAACGTTTGATGCCGCACGCGTAATGCGTGGTCCCTCGCCCGTTGCTCAAGGCTGCGAGCCAATGCTCAAGGCTCAAGCGAGAGCGATAACACTAACAACTACTTGCGACGACGGTGCTCACAAACCCAAACCACGCTCTTCTCGTAAAGACACAAATGTGCGTTAACATTGTATGCGCAGTTGCACCATTGACAATGATACCTGTGACATGACTTGCCCCTGGGAGGTGAGCTCACAAGCAAAGTGAGCACCTGAGTTTGATAATGGTCGTCAGCGTCACTCTCGGCCCCACCATGAGTAACAGGATCGGAAAAGGGATACGCTTCCACAGGGAGAAAGGAGAATTAATGGCATGGCCGAGTGGCTCGGGATTTTCCATTTGCTCATGTTCCTTTGGGCCTTCCTTAACCTTCTTATAACGACGGAGCATTCGCATGAGGGGAGCGCAGGCACCCCGAGCGCACGCTCTCGCAGAAATCGGGCACGGGCAGTCTCGATCAAGACATCGCGAGGCATGCGTGACACTGGGAGGTTGGCCGCGGGGGGTGTTTGGAGAAGTGCTCGCCCTTGGTGTCGATCAGGCGCTCGCAAGCAAGGATCAAGGGGGCGTGGATTGGCGACGGGTCCCGTTTCCACGGGGACATCGCAGACTTCCGCCGCCGGGCGAGGCGGCATGGGCCGCATTTTGGGGAGGGCACCCCCCCCCATTCATGGATTCGGCGACCGCACGCCAAGTCGGTGGATCGCTAGTTCATGTCTGCGCGCCCCCGGGTCGAGGAGTCCCCCACGCCACTCCATGCCCGCCTGCTGCGGGCCGCGCTTGTGCCACCCTCCGAGGTCTGCTGGCAGCTGGCTGCACGAAGGGAGGCGGCTGCGTGAAGGGAGGCGGCTGCGTAGTGGGTGGCGGCGGCTGCATCGCGGGAGGAAGTCGACGAAGGCAAAATTGCACAAGCATCAGCGTTCGAGGATCCGCACGGATCTCTTGGATCCGCGCTGGGCCCCTTGGCGCCGCCTCTGGCGGAGCCTCATGGCGCGCTGCGCGCGCCAGGGAGAGGGGTCAGGCGCAGATCAAGAAATCAGCACGGACCCTCCAAAGGTTATGCTTGTGCAGTTTTTTCTTCCAGGAAAGGGGGCCTTGAAGAGCAGGCCTCCGCTTCCACAGCAGACCCCAGAAGTCGATGACAGAGCGGTAGAGGTGGCCCTCGACGCGCTGGTCACGTTGGTGGCACCGTACGAGACATACTGGGAGCCGAAGAGACTAAAGGAGAAGTTGTGGGACTATGCCTGGAAGGCCAGGAAAGGTCTCTCCTATAAGGAGAAAACCTGGCAAGAGCTGATCAATGATTTTTGCGAGAAGTTCGCCCACTCAGGAGACAACCTTTCCTGTCTCAATCACACCTCTCCTGCCTGTCCGTGCGGGCGCGCTGTTCCTACCTCTGCGGCGATGCGCCATCAGCCTCTGAGCAACTTGCTGGATACGGCGGCTTCGTGAAGTGTCGACGCGGCGGCGACCCCACCGCGAGCGTGAAAGGCTGAACGTGGCCAATCGCGGTGTCGGGGGAGCCGCGATCGCTCGAGGCTGAAGGACCCACGCGGCGTCAGGAACCATCGCCGAAGCCGTGACGGCGCGAACTTGCCGTACGCAAGAGCGAATTGCGCTCGGACCTGCGCCGACCACGCTCGAGCACAAGCGCGGCAGGGGCAGGCTGCGGGCCGGCGCGGGCAGCGTTAGGACTGGCGAGGTGCGGGTGACAGACTTCGCTCGGGCAAGCGCGCAAGCACAGCGCTGGGGAGGCACGGCGCTGCGAGGTCCGAGGCCTTCGGGCGTGTTCGTCGGTCCTCGGCGGCTTGTCAGCCTCGGGGTGCTCTCCGGCAGCTGCGCCTCGTCGAGCGGCGCCCGGGGCTGCCAGGATCCTCCCGAGCGGCCGCCAGAGGGCTGAGCTGTGGCCCGAGAGCCAGGGTCAAGTCGGGCGGGTCCCCCTGCAGGGCAATTTTGGGCGAATCGTAATACATACTCAACAAAACACCCCCACATGGTCAGAACATATTCAAAACATGTTCCCATGATATTATATGTGTTACTTCTTGTTTAATATATATATAGATGTATGTTATACAAATATGTTTGAATGTTCCTCCTGTGGAGGGACAGGCCCGATTTGAAGCCAGGGGCGACGTCAGGGGGCGCGGGGCGCCCTGAGGGGGGGGGGGGGGGGGCGCACGGAGCCCCACCCGCGCGAGGGGCCCGGGGAGCACACGCCCCGCCTCCGCAGCCGGTTTCAAGCAGTGGCGGGGCGCTCTGGCTCGCCTATGGTTCTGCACGCACGAAATGGGTACTGAAAGAATGGGCACAATGCCCAACAGCGGATCTTGTTCATTTTGGACAGGGCTCGCTGTCCACGCCGCCGCGGCCTGTGTCCATTCGAGACAGGAGGCCGCCTGCCCAACAGCGGCCGCTGTTGGTTTGGGGCAACATTTGCTGTTGGGCATGGTACCCATTTTTTCGGTACACATTTCGGGCGTCAAAATGGCTCGCCTGTGGTCGGGTGTTGCCAGAAGTGCGCACGGCTCATTTCTCATTCTTCGAAAGGTCTTTGATTTCTTTGGGGGGCCAGGATCCTTTCATTTCTGATTCTGCTGTCCCGGGCCTCTTCTTGGCCACCAGGGGGCCAGGAGCAGTTAGAAACGAGCGCAGTTCGAAATGAGCACGAGTAGAAATGAACCACGTGTACCCCTGGCCCAGGGTGCCCCCAGCCTTTCGCTCCATTTCGGGCCCCTGGGGCCCTCTGGGCCCTGCGAGGGGTCCTCTGGATGCCGTCTGGGCCACCCCGAGAATCCTGGGGGTACCTTGGGCCAGGGGTACTTCTAGCAACACCCGATATGGGCCCACCGAAGAATGTCCTCAGAACCGCTTGTGGTTTGCGCGAAATGTCCTACGCTGAGTCTGCGTTGTCTAACACATCGGGTCCAGGTTCTAGGAGTTTCTTTTGTGATTCGAACATCTTTGGGGTTCTAGGAACATCTATCAGGAGGGACAGAAAGACACAGACACGATTCATCGTCGACTCCCAGGGAAATATGGGGACATTTGGGAAGTGCGTGGGCAGACGAACACCCAGAAAGCATTGGAACATATGGGGAATCCTGGGATTTGTGTGTATTTATTTGTGTCCCTTGGCCCCTTCGATTTTGGCTCAAGACGCTCTGGCTCCCACTGGGCGGCCGCCCGAGGCGCCCGTGCACGCAGCAGAGCGCAATGCACAGCGCGCAGCGGGGAGAGTGCCCTCGCTCGCCGCAGAAGGATGAAGTCGGGCCTGTCCCTCTACAGGGGGGGAAGCCAAAAATCGTAGAACATAGTCTGGGAGCGATTTTGTTCGGCACGGTTGGGCATGTTGATTTGTTTGTTTTGATTATCTTTCATGCTTCACCCAAAATCCCCCTGTAGGGGGACAGGCCCGACCTCACAGAAGGACCGAGGCAACAAGATCCCCAGGGGCGCGCTGACCCCCGACGCCCAAGAGCTGCGCAGGCTCGTGCGGCAAGACACGGAGGAGTGCCTGCGATGCATCGTGGGCGAGGCGATGCAGGACCTCCGCCAAGACATGCGCGAGTGGCTGCCTCGCGCGCTGAGCCTCGATGAAGAGACGAAGTCACACACGCTGCGCCCCGGCGATGTGAATGACCACGGCGCGCCGGGTAGGGATGTCTCGCCGGAGGAGATCCAGCAGCTGAACCGGATACAAAGCTACGATCTACCCGATGGCAATTCCGCGCCCAATCTCAGGCTCCGCGAAGTGACTGCAGCCCCGGAGGAAGCGCAGGACCAGATCCCCTCGGAGGTGGCAAACCGCATCGAGGTCACGGGTACGGGCACCATCACCTCCAACATTGTGGCGATGGATCCTCCTGGAAGCCAAGAGGACGATGATCTGGAGAATCGAGCCGTCTACTGGGAGTGGGAGCGTGACAACGACATGGGCTGGAAATCTTACCCTGCTTTCCAGTCAGAGATAATCGAGAAAGCGTGGCAGTCTGGGGTCTCAAGGGTCAGGGTGCGCAGCGGTTGCGACGGCAGGACGCCGATGGAGATATTTTTCGTGGACATGCTTCAGCTTGACCCCGAATCGGAGAATTTGAGGCGGATACGCCGAGTGGGGAAGGCGCCATGGTACATGACATCCAGAAGGTTCTGGAGGTCCGTCAGCCATTCATGGGAGACCGGCGAGCCCCTCTGGGAGAATTTGCACCAGTACAGGTATCGCCAATCGTCTTTGCCAACGGCGGAGAAGATGTTTCAAAAGCCGAGCAGCAGAAGTCTCGGTTCTTCACGGACCAATTCACAGCCAGCTGTTGCCAGTTCCCCTGTGCAGCGCCGTCTGCGCAGGCTTGTCACGTCGAGTTCATGCATTTCTTTCTTCAACCTCTCAAATATGATAACCTTATCTTGGTGCGTGTGGTTCGGGATCGACGTGCAGCGCTACCCTGACGGCACATCCTTGTACGAGAAGGAAGCACTGTTCACGACCATTGAGCTCTGTTTCAACGTGTTCTTCTTGGTTGAGTTGGTCATCCGAGTTGGGGCTTGCGTGTCATTTTTGGAGTGTTTCAGGGACGTGTGGATCTGCATCGATGCGCTTTGCGTGATAGGGTCTCTTGCCGATGTGCTCATCTTGCCAATCGCCGCCACCTTGAAGTTTCATGAAGTAGGCAACAGCCACTTGGTTGCCTTCCGTTCGGTGCGGTTGTTCAAGCTTCTCAGGATCGCCCGTCTCAGCAGGGCCTCTGTGGACATGGATATTTTCTGTAAGGGGATTTGGTCTGGATTGAGAGAATCCTCCGTCGTCTGGACAATTCTCATATTTTTGGTGTTCACCTTCAGTGTCATGCTGACGACGTTCGGCTCTCCAGAGATGCGACAGACGAGATTTAGTAGTTTGCTGAGCTCAATGCACATTCTGTTACATTCGGGTGTCATGCTCGACGGCGTGGCAGACGTGATGGATGACATGGTGAGGTCAAGAGACGCGGCTGGCTACATTATATTCCTCGTATTCGTTATCGTATCGCAGTACATAATCCTCAATATGTTGATCGGGGTCCTGAGCTCAGTTGCCGGGGACGTAAGAGGAGAAGAGAAGGCGCGCGCCAGCATTGCTTACCTGCGCCACAACTTGAAGAACCTACTGGACTGCTACATACACGATGATGGGAAGATCCGTAAGGGCTTCGCCCCCTGCCGCCGGCCCCCTCTCTCGGAGAATGGGCCATGGAAGAGCTAAGTCATGAGGCTTTGGCGCTGTCGTGCAGCAGTATCGGAACTTCATGCGAGGCCGATTCGCAATCGGGAAAACCAACTGATCACAAGAGGGGTTACCACACAGGGCGATTGGTAAGACGTGTATGGTTTACGAGCTTGGTTACCACACCTTGGGATTAAAGGGCCGAGGGAGTACTCGCAGTTTGGGTTACCACGCCTTGCGATTGATGTGCGTGAGGGGTGGCACCGAATTTCAGAAATGTGGCAAATCCCCTGTGTTTTTGGACCCTGACCCCGCGGATCTGCGTGAGGGGTGGCACCGAATTTCAGAAATGTGGCAAATCCCCTGTGTTTTTGGACCCTGACCCCGCGGATCTGCGTGAGGGGTGGCACCGAATTTCAGAAATGTGGCAAATCCCCTGTGTTTTTGGACCCTGACCCCGCGGATCTGCGTGAGGGGTGGCACCGAATTTCAGAAATGTGGCAAATCCCATGTGTTTTTGGACCCTGACCCCGCGGATCTGCGTGAGGGGTGGCACCGAATTTCAGAAATGTGGCAAATCCCCTGTGTTTTTGGACCCTGACCCCGCGGATCTGCGTGAGGGGTGGCACCGAATTTCAGAAATGTGGCAAATCCCTGTGTTTTTGGACCCTGACCCCGCGGATCTGCGTGAGGGGTGGCACCGAATTTCAGAAATGTGGCAAATCCCCTGTGTTTTTGGACCCTGACCCCGCGGATCTGCGTGAGGGGTGGCACCGAATTTCAGAAATGTGGCAAATCCCCTGTGTTTTTGGACCCTGACCCCGCGGATCTGCGTGAGGGGTGGCACCGAATTTCAGAAATGTGGCAAATCCCTGTGTTTTTGGACCCTGACCCCGCGGATCTGCGTGAGGGGTGGCACCGAATTTCAGAAATGTGGCAAATCCCTTGTGTTTTTGGACCCTGACCCCGCGGATCTGCGTGGGGGGTGTCGATTTCGAGCCCCCCCAGCAATTCAGACAACGCGCCCAGCCCCCCCCTCGCGCGGTCAATCAACTAGTTAGAGTAACCAGCAAGAAGCAGAACTGTAACACTGGAAACTACAAGCTACAACTGGTACAGG